CCCCATCCCAGCCCTATTTTGTATTTTATTTAGAGACAGGCTCTCACCGAGTTGCTCACTGTGGCCTTTAACAACAGTGAGGTAAGCCTTCCCACAAGTTCCCAGCAGTTGCTGAGGCTGGCTTTGAACTCGCGGTCCTCCTGCCTCAGCCTCCCGAGTCCCTGGGATCACAGGCGTGCGGCTTACATATTTACATTTCGTACCATTTGAAAACCTGTTACAGATGTTAACAGGCGTTATCGGGGTCCACTCCCCAGGTCCTTCAGCTGGTCCTCCTAAGGGCAAGGACTGGCTACGGAGCTGCAGTCTGTGATTGCTCGAGGACTAGATTGCTGATGATTTCCCTGAACCACTAAATAATCCTGCCAAAACCCTCCACAGCCCTGACTTCAGAGAACACTTTCCCTTGATTGTAAAGTAATTTCGTTGAGTTTTCTGTAACCTGCAGATACAAACCTCCTGGTACACGAGCGTCAGACGCACCAGAGATCAAAGATCGCCATGTACCACACTAGAGACTTTTTCAAGATATAATATCTGTATCTCTCTACTATATAACTTTAAGTATACTTTTATACTTTTGTTTTAGACATTCTCTCTCTGTCAGGGTCATACTGAGGACTGACTGACCTCTAGAAATACTTGGAAACACTTTCAAAGTGAGAAAAACCCAACCTACACAGTTGTTTCCCAATGGAATGACATTTTTATGACCAACCAAGCTAATATTTCATTAAGTTTGAGCACAGTAAATGTGTGTATTTCAGCTTTGAAGTTTTATGTTTTGGAGCCAATACATTCCTCCCCCCCCCCACCTCCGCTTTGGGTCTCAAATATTTTCTGAGCTTAGCTTCCTGTGAGTCTTTGACTTCAAAATAAAATGCTAAACTAAAGAGGCTCAGACCTGAGCCCTGCAGAGTCAGGCCAATTAAGAAAAAGGTCTGGGCTCCACGCAGAGGAGGGACAGTTCCCCACAGGGAGTGGGGGGTCTGTGATCACAAGGGGGACAGACCCCAGTTGAGAGCAAAGGGCCAGCAGTTCACTGGAGTGAGGAGTGGTTAAACGGGCAGGTGCCCAGGACCACAGCCTTCTCTCCTGGCTCAGCTCCCTGGGTGGGCTCGGTCAACCTACCACCCTCTCTAGATGGTTTCTGCACCATGAAGCTGTGTCACGAAACAGGGGAACAGACACCTGGCGTGATGGGAAAGCTAAGGCAAGAGGACCAGAGTTCAAGGCCAACCTCAGCAACTTAGTGAGAACCTTCCTATCTCGAAAAATGAAATATAGCTGGGCACAGTGGCGCTCACTGGAATCCCAGCGGCTCGGGAGGCTCAGGCAGGAGGATCGCGGGTTCAAAGCCAGCCTCAGTAACTCAGTGAGGCCCTAAGCAGCTTAGCAAAACCCTGTCTCTGAAAATAAAAAAGGCTGGAAATGTGGCTCAGTGATTAAGGGCCCTGGGTTCAATTCCTGGTACCAAAAAATAAAGAATAAATTAAAATATAGTGCCCTGGTTCAACCCTAGTCCTGGAGGAAAAGCAGGGGGCAGCCAGGCCCATCTCCCGGGTCCCTCCTACTTGATATCTAGGACTCTGAGCTGGCGGGGCAGGGGATGGCGCCTGTGTGGCTTCCAGCCCTCCAGCCAGTGCCAGCTGGAGGAAGCACAGCCTCCATCTGGGCAAGGTGGGAGGGAGGCCTGGAAGGGCTGCGCTGGCCCAGATTCCATCTGGACAAGTGGAGTCCACTTCTCAGCAGCAGCCAAAGGCCAGGCTGCAGGGACGGGGCTTCCAGAGCACTGCCAGGCGCTCCTGCACCCAGGGGAGCAGACAGTCCCGGGGCGAGGCCTGGCCTTGGGGGCCACAGGAGGGAGGGCGCTTCCTTACACCTCACAGGCAGCCAGGAACACTGGGAATGCGGTCATGCCCGCTTTCCAGGCCTGGGACAGATTCACAGAAGTCACACACCTGCAGCCGGGCAGCCCCCCATTCAAACCTGCCTTCCTACTCCTATTGAAGTTCCACCCAGTGGCAGCCACCAAGTCGGGGGTGACACGGTGAAAGGAGGGAGTCACTGTTCTCGAGGACTCCGGAATCTTGAACAACTCCCCACCCCAGCCTAAGCAAGAGGAGACTGTTTGGCACCAAATGGGTCTGAGGAGGTCCCCTGTTTTGTGGTACTAGCAGTCGAACTCGGGGGTATTTTGCCACTGAGCTGCATCCATCCTGGCCCTTTATATTTTGGAGACAAAGTCTGGCCTCTAACTTAGGATCCTCCTGCCCCAGCCTCCCCAGTTGCTGATATCGCAGGCGTTTGCCCCGTGCCCGGCTCCAGGCAGGTTCTTGACTGACGTATTGAGGCACAAGCAGAGATTGATTGACGGGCAGCAAAGCAAAGGCAGACCCATCCCGAAGGCAGGGTGCAGACACCCCTCACCTCCCCGTGACAGTGACAATGACAGTCCAGGTGCAGCTCTCTGACCACACATAGGATTTTCCTGGGAAGAAAGGTACAAGTTTGCAGCAAGCTTCTGAGGAAATCAAATCCCGTGTCAGTGTTTGGGGTTCACATTGTTTCTTCCTGGGGGGCAGCCCAGCCTGAAGTCAGTTGTGGGCCGCGGGTGTAGGTCTGTGAGTCTGGTGACATTTAAATTGACTCTGCCTTTGTTCCAGCTGATCTGGTGTGACATGTGCTGGAGATTTGGGGGGGTTTTGTTAGTCTGCTTTTTTTGGGAGGGAAGTACAAGGGATTGAACCCAGGGGCGCTTAACCACAGAGCCATATCCCCAGCCCATTTAAAACAAAGTTATTGTGTCCATCTACAACTAAAAAAATAAAAAATATAATGTATTTTTTATGTTTTTATATTGACGTTTTTGTATTTATACACATATTTTAGAGACAAGGCCTCCCTAAGTTGTTTAAGGCCTCACTAAGTTGCTGAGGCTGGCTTGTGATCCTCCTGTCTCCGCCTCCTGAGCCGCTGGGATCGCGGGCACCTGGCAAGGGGCTGGCTGTACTTGAGGAACAATCCTGTGGGGTCTCAGGAGGGCTGCGGGTAAGTGAGCTGCTTAAAGATCCCCCGGGCCCCTGGGTTCAGGAAGGAGGGGGCCCAATGAGGAGGTTTTCTTGGGACCTGGAGGACTGGACTGAAATCAAGTTTTCAAATCTGCAAGTGAAAGGTTCTGCGTCAGCTGGCCTCAGGGCGCAGCAGCCACACAAGTTTGATCAGAAAGGTCCTGGGGGTGGAGGAAGGCAGGGGCTGGGCTCCAGCGTCCAGCAGGCTGCCCCATCAGGAGCCACAGCCTCTTCTGTGGTGATGGCCAGAAGGTCAGAGGGGACTTGAGAGGCCTCAGGCATCCGTCTTCCAGGGCACCTCGATGGGCCGATGGCCTCCTGTCCCTCTCCGGAGGTGAGGCGATCTCTGCCCCAGGGCCCCCTCTCTAGGAAGGGGGCACGGCCCCTGTGTCCATGGGCCCTGCTGGGGACAGTCTGCCATGGTGGCGTGGAGCCCTTGGATATCTCTGAGGGGCCGGGCCTGCGGCCAGGGCCAGCCCCGGGCTGGTTCTCCCGCCTGCTGTCGCTGTCTCCAAGGTTTCTTGGGGCTCTTATCTTTTTTTGTTGAATGCCCCAAAGGTCAAATTTAAAAATCGGGTGACAGGGAACTGAGGACCCAGAGTTGGCTTTTGAAATTCTCTCCTCACATCTGCAGCTGGGGCCCAGGAGACTCCGTCCCTCCTGAGAACTTGGGTCAGTGTCCTTCACTTCTTAAGCTTTAGTCTAACTAAGACCCAGACGGATTCCCGTTCTCTCCCCAGTCGCTCCCGGGACTTGATCAGGACTCGCTGGTTCACTCACAGATCTTTCTCCTGCCTCCTACCAACATGGGACCCTTCGCCAGGCCTTGTAAGATCTGTGCTTTGAATGTAGAAATTTCAACTATGGAATATAGAATCCCAAGGGAGTTTACAGGGACAGACGTTGACCTTCCCATATTTTAACAGCTGAAAGAATTTCGAACCTGCAGGTGGGGATCCAAAGGAAAGAAAGAAAGACTCTGGGATACTCAGATCCCCCGGAGCTCCGGGACCCCAGCTCGGCCAGCCTCACCTGGCGGCTGCTGTCACCAAATAGCCGAGGGCGAAGCCTTCCTCCTGGGGCAACCTTTGCTCCCCGCGTCCCTGGAGCTACCGCGAGTACTCAGGGGCAACGCGACCCCTCTGACTACCAGACACTCCAAAGCTTCTGAGTTCTGGTTCCCCAAATTAGGAAAACTAGAGCCGGTCCCCCCCACCCCACCTGGAGTCTTTAAGTTCAAAGTCTAATCTCACCCAGGTGAGCCCTGAAACAAATTTCTTTAAAACAGAATAGAAATGGCACAAAATCCTCACAAAGAATTCCTTGGGGCGGAGGTGGGCATGAGGCACCCAACAAGATGAGCCTAAGGGGAACCGTCTGGTGCCAGGGAGGGGCAGCCAGTGGGTCCTTAAACAAAGCCAACAGGGGGGTGTGTTCTTCAGAAATAATCAAACCCTGCAACTGGGCAGTCTCCTTTGGGGCTGTGCC